AAGAAAGTCATTATGACAACCAACCACCAACAGTTCCTTCTATCAAATCAGAATCACAAATCTATAGGTTCCTCAAATACATTTGTAATACATGCAACCAAAATGGGAAAATTTAGGGCCTGGGAGATGGCTCAGTAGAATGCGCGCTAGCCTGGCAAGCACAAAGGCTTGAGTTCAATCCCTGGTTCTAGGGGAAAAAACAAAAAACAAAAAACCAGGCCCTTTGTCTGACACCTTTCTTTGGGGGCCAGGGAGATGGCTCAGTGGAATAAGTGCTTCCCTGGCAAGCACAAGGGCCTAAGTTCAATCCCCGGTTCCGCCAAAAAAAAAAAGGGGGAAAATTTGCAAGTGCGTAACTTTTACATGTGAAGAAGTTTTAGTCAAATCAATGCATTTGACCAGCAGTCACCAAATACATTTGCTGCAGTGACTTAAAAACTGCTTAACAAATTCTCCCAACTTACACTGATGACTAATTCTAATCATATTTCCCAGAAGGGAACTGCCTCAGATCCCCAAATATTCTTAGTTGCCATCAACCATTTACAATTTTGAAAAAGACTGTGCCTAACAGCACGCCAGGACGGCAGCAAAGATAGTCTTGGCCTTCCACACAAAAACACCTTGTGTAGGCTACTACATCCACTGTACTAACCATATTCTTTTGCCACCTCAGTTTTTCAACTCAACCTATTTTTAGAATTACTTGTTTTAATTACTATATGGAATCTTAGTATATAAATAACCCAAAATTTAATAGCCATTTTCTTCAAGGGAATATTGTTAAAACTGTGTTTATTTCTTTGTTATAAGCCATTCTGCAGCAGGGCTGGCCAAACAGCTCAGCGGATTAAAGTGTCTACAAGCAGGCGCAGGGACCAGGGGTTCAATCCCTGGACCCGTCTTGCAGGCCCCAGCACAGGCCTGGGCCCAGCCCTGGGGGTGTGCTGAGACAGCCATTGAGACTGGATGTGGTGGCATGCGCCTGTAATCCCAGCTCTTGGGAGGCTGTAAGCAGGCTAATCACTACAAGTCCAATCTAGTAGTGAGACCCTGAACACCCTGTAGACCCTTCCCTAAAATATAAAAATAAAATAAATTAAAAAATAAACCATTCTGCAAAGTAACTATGCTGGGTTAAATTTTTGTTCAAAAGACATGCAATTTTTTCACATAAATCATCCAATTATAATACTCATCTTGGTAGTTAGTACAGAAAATTACCACAGAAAACTGTAAACACAAATAATGAACAGGAGGACACTTGCTTCTTCCCCTCCAGTCAAAGGTAGTAGAGGGAGGGGATGGGGAGGTGGAGGGGGGAGGGAAAGTGGGCGCGCACAAGCAAGCGCGCGCCAGCAGAGCCACATGAGGGGAAGGGAGAGGTCTCTCACCTAGGGTTCTAGCCCACTGCTGGCCAGATGCCGGCCGTTCTCCCAGCTTGGGCTCTCCAGATAAAGGCAGCGTAGACTGCTGTCCTGCCCGCAGCCAGAAATGCATTCAGCCCTGCTTACAAGCTCTTAACAGACCCAGTTTTTCAAAAGTCCAAGACCCTCCTGAGGCTCCAGGCAATCTTAGCTGTGAAGCTCAGTAATAATAAAAGTTACCATAGTTAACAGGGGTGACATAGGGTAAACAGTCCCACACCAGAAGAAATCAGACCTAAACCGGTCAGAAACTCAGCAGAATGGGAAAACAAGAAGTCCCGCAGCTGGAGACCTGCCTCCAGCATCCCGCACATGGAGCGTGGGCTCCGGAGGCCTGGGGTGGCTCCACTGTGCGGGCTGCCTCGGGCAGGCGGCAGCTCAGAGCCTGCAGCTTTCCTCAGTGACCTCTACGCTCCTGCCGCTGAGGTCCAGGGGCCTTCCTGCCACCTGGCTGAGGTCACCACCTGCCTGGTCACAGCCTGTTAACACTCACGTTCTGCTGCCAGTGACACCAGCACTGACCTCACTTGTAAGGACTTCAGCAATTCCTGGAACCAACGACTCAACATCCACAATGCAAAGATAAAAACGGTTTGTTTGGCTCTTGTTGCAGAGGAGTCAGCCCACGGTCAAATGGCTCTGAGGCAGAAACATGGTGAGACAAGAGCACGGCCACCGAAGCTGATCACATCAGGCCAGGAAGCGGAGGAGAGGGGCAGTGCGGGATCAGGCCACGCCCACAAGCATGCTTTCCTAATCCCTTAGGCGTTTCTTAATCCAGTCAAACTGACACATCACCATTAAGGTCACACCGGGTCCCCTGGCCAGCCCAGGGGCAGCCCCACAACATCAATTACGATCGCGAAGTGTTTCCAAGATCACAGCCAACTCCGACTGGACACAACTGGACACTTCCCATGTACGGCTTCCCCTACAGTACCTCAGAGGTCTGGGGTCCAGCTCAGCGGCGATGTGGCGGGGATGTGAGGAAGCCAAAGCACAAACTGGCTCGATACACAGCACGTCACACACCGGTAAGAGCAGATGTTTTCGCTGAGGATCATACTACCCCGTCTCATGGCACCCTCCTTCCAGCTTTCCCTAAACAACATGTTTCACTAAAGTCTATCTTCCAAATTTAAAACTGCCTGGAAGGGCGTGTGGAGGCCATGGCACTTCTTGCTCACCACTGTGTCCTCACAGTACCTAGCTGAGGGTGGCATGGCAGAGTCTCAAAAGATACCGCTGAATATTCTAGAGTGAATAAACAGTTGCAAGGATTAAACAAGACAACACAGCTAGAGGGC